TTAAGCCTTACAACTTTTGTCTGAAACATTTTTCTCTCCCGTGCTTGGTTTTCGACATATTCGACTGGATGGATTAAAATGGTCCACCCTGTATATCTGTTCTACGTCCTCACAAAATGCCTGGAGGAAAGTGTGAGACACCCTGTGTGTGTGTGTGTATGTGTGTGTGTATGTATATATATATATATATATATATATATATATATATATATATATATACATATACACAGGGTGTCTCACACTTTCCTCCGGCCATTTTGTGGGGACGTAGAACAGATTGAGGTGAACATAAAAGTCGAGATATTAATTGTAGAAAATTTGTGAATGATCATTAATTAAAGAAGATGAGTGCACGCAAAATCGTGCAATAATCTTCTTTAATTAATAATTAAAAATCTATATGATTATTTGGAAAATGGTAGAGGACTTTTTCAATTTGACCTAAAGTATAAGTACATGACGGTAGTCGTCGCTACTCTAACTCATTTACCACATTCTGCATAATCATTTACAAGTTTTCTACAATTAATATCTCGATAATTATTGCAAATATCGCAAAACGGTATAGGACTTTTATGTTCACCTCAACCTGTTCTACGTCCCCACAAAATGCCTGGAGAATGTGAGAGACCCTGTATATACCCAGACAGCACAAATATTCAAAATCGAGTCATAAGACGTCTTTAGGACATCTTTAAGATATCTTTAAGACAATATTTTATAAACTTGTCTTAAAGATGTCTTAAAGACGTCTTATGACCCGATTTTGGACATTATGCTGTCTGGCTAATGCTTAGAATGTTTTCCTAGATGATTCCATTAAGAATGAGATATTTTTTTGAGTGCGCAAATATAACAAATTCAACACTCTATACTTGTGACGGAATTAACGCTTCCATGCGCCGTGTTTGACCATGGCACTGTCTGTGTTTGCAAAATACACTAACAATTGTTCCCATTTCATTTAATTATTAATTAAATTATTATTTATTAAATTGATTATTAACAAAATTATTATTATTAAAGAAATAATTATTATTTATTTAATTATTAATTGGTTTTTCCAATAAGATTTTGTTCATTGCAGCGTTATACTGAACCGTCAGTTAAAGTGTAGTGTTTCAATGAAGGACACACTGATCGTACTTTAGAGAGTTTGGCGCCAACTTAATAGAGTTATCGTCGCTCGGGCAGATCCGAATGAAACGATCGACCCAAGTCGTCGCGTCTTTCAGACGAAGCGCGAACGTTAATGGGTAAGAGCAGTAATTGCATGTACGCGCGTTCGATTCGCATTGAATGAAAAAGTTGGAATAAACGTACACGGCATTCGCGACCGCTGAACGCGGCCGCGCCGCGCACGAAGTACGGTTATTGTGCGCACGAAAATTATACTTATCGTCATAGATCACGCCGCGCGGTCGCGGCAAACAAGTGTCATCATGACGTCAATAAGGCCGACAAGTGCGTACGATTCGCCGACGCGCTTTTATCTGCCTATGCGACTGTCGCACGATGCGGCGCTTTCGCGGGATGCGACGTAACGTCACGACTCGGTGCATTTCGACGAATTGTTGATCGGCGATCGTGTGTCAGTTCGTCGATCGATATCAAGTCGAACGCCAACGATATCGCGTCGGAAAACCACTCGTTATCGCGTCGACACCCGCACACTCTAAGTCTCGACCTAACCGCCGTCGCGACAAGACGTGTTCGAACAAGTTCGGACCTTGTGATTTTTTGGAACGTGCCTTGGAATTTTTCAAGACTTTACTCTCGAAATATATCATAAATCGGAATAATGACGTTGAGGCATAACTCTTAGAGAGGCCTGGAGCCAAATATTGAAGTTGAAGTTGACCCGCACACTCTCCCTCTTTATTCTCTCTCTCTCTCTCTCTCTCTCTCTCTCTCTCTCTCTCTCTCTCTCTCTCTTTGTCTCCAAAGTGACCAATTACGAGTGGCGATGAATCACGATCAACCGATCGATTGATGGATTAACTTCTTGCCGCTTTTTTCTCACACGACGTTATAACCATTGCCCTCGGGCAGAATGTACGTATGTTTTGAGCGGAAGTGTAACTCTGGTCAACAAATATTGCATCATAATTTCTATTCTTCTCACATTTTTATTTCTTCTATTTGTGTTTATGTATTGTGACGCAGGAAATGACAGTAAAAGAATAACTCAGCTCTAGTTCAAGAGATATAGGCTGTATTTAAATTTTTGCAAATTAACCTCTTCAGCGGTTGTATGAAAATGACTGCGTGATTTCTCCCAGGGCGGAGGATTTCGAAAATTTAAATTTCTTTTCTGTTTATTCTCTTTGAGAAATTTTGAGAAATATGGAATTTATGTTTTTGCTACGAGTAAAAAAGTACTAGTTAAGTAATAGTTTAAGTAAAGTAAAGGGAATTTGACATTTCACCACGAAACTCTTTCAGTTTAAATGTGTACTTTATTAGACAATGTGTAACGTTTTCAAAATTAAAGTCACAGCGGAAGATTAGAGAATCGTCTCTCTCTTTTTCTGTCCATCTTTCTGTAGAAAATTCAAATACTCATGTCAAACACTCTTATTCACAAACTTTTGCAGACTCTACTTTGTTTTATTTACAAAGTCATACTGCCTTACACCAGCTAAAAATATAAAATTATCTTTTAGACATGTGATTTCGTACAAGTTGTGTCTTTTGATTGTTGTTTACTATATTATGGAAATTAGAATTAAGCTTTGCTTTCGATTGTTACATTTGTGATTAACACCACAAAATTATCTAGTATTAACGGTTTAGATGAAGATTACAATCTTTGTGTAGATTAGTGTAATTTTCCGTAATCAGTTCGATGGGACGCTTCGCTTAGAATTGAAACGCCGTCGCGAGTGCAATACGAAAGAGGAGAAAAATACAACACAAAGATGAAATTATAGTTTTCTGTAGAATCTGTGGGAAATGACACCGCTCTTCGTGTCTCGCAATAGGAATACGAGGAGAAATACGGTAACGGAACCTGTTTAACCAATGACGGCTCCTTCCCAGAAACAATTTGCCGCGTTCTTTGTACAGTTTTACGATACGCTCGCTTGTTTTTATTGTTGTGGCTAGCAGCCAGCGATTTCGCGTTTTCCTAGCACGGATCTTCGTCAGACGCAGCCGCGCAGATTGCCCGTTTCTACTGCGTAATTAGGGGGTACTCGTTGCTGCACAGCCGGCACGGCAGGAATCTATCAGGCGAGGCCGATAGATATTTCGTATCGCGCGCAACAACTATTGGCTTTTAACAACGGAAAATTAGTCATGAGATAACTTAACGCGTCCACTGCGTCTTTTTTACTCGCGTTTTCTCGCTATGGTAATACGTCGATACAATAAAACGATGTCGGTCACAGCTCAATGCAGAAACCGCGATTCTTGTGCATAATGCAAAACCGATAAAAGAAGTATGAATAACAAGTCGGGGAAGCAGTATTAATAAATGTCGACTAATAAGTGCTGAATGCTCCTGAGTAGAAATTTAAAACGTAGATTAAAAAAGGATTTTTTCCCTACTTTTCTATCAAAGCTCTACAAAAGATAGGTCCTCTTAGGCTATACTCTGAGATGTAACGCTTTTATAGATTAGTATTCAGATGAAATCTAATCTTGTAAATCTGATTAGGTCCTACTTTGGCATGCCTGACTAGATCCTGATTGAAACGACGTCCCATTTTAATATATTTATTTAAGGTTTTTAAATTAAATCCTTTCTTAGCATGCTTATTACAACATTTTTTACAACTTTTATTACAATTTTTATTTTAATATTTATTACAATTTCTCTTATTAATCTTTTTATCTGCCCTAATCTGCTTGGACTTCTTTCAATATGGCCGAGGATTAGATCTCATTGGCCAGGTCTGTTGAATATGGAGAAACAAGATGGCGGCATTTCGATTTATCGCAATTATCGACGTTTTAACGTCGCTTCTTTATTTATCTAGGAGTCTATACTCGAATTGTCGTATGCAAACCGGCGCTTGTTATGACACACGCAATAACGCTATCAACGGGATCTTTGGCCTCGCCGGCGTAAATTTCGTCAGCGCGTATTCGCGATATCGTCGTTTATCGTCGTTAAAAGTGCACGCGTTTCCGCGGTCACGGAAAAAACACTCGATAAGAAGACGAGCGCAGAACGACGGCGCCGCCGTCGCCGCCGCCTCCTCCGTCCCCGACGCCGATTTGTGATTTTCATTCGCGTTTCCTCTCCTGCCTCTCTGGCGCCACTATGTCACTTCTTGTCGCCACTCGTGCGCGATTCCGTTCTCGCGCGCGCGCGCGTTCGCGTTAGTGTTTTTCCATGGACGCAATAACGCGCGACGCGATCGCGTGGTGACACTTTATTTCGCGCTCGCGCGACTGTGTTTGCCTACCGAAAATAGACGGCTACATCTGCCGTTCGACGTTTTGCAGCATGAAATTTTTATTGCCCATTCTCGACAGAAAGAACGGGAAGGATAGAGAGAGAGGGGGGAGGGGAGAGGGAGTGAGAGACAGGGAGGGGGAAAGAATGAATGAGTGGATATGATAATATTTAATTATGCCGCGAGATAAAATCTCTCCGAGCAACTAATTGAAAGTTACAGCGAAAATGGCAGCAGTCACGCGAAATAATTATACGGCGAATGCATTTAGCACGGTCTAAGTAAGGCGAAACGGATCGGTGAATAAAAAACGAGAAACAAATAGGCGGCTAATAAACAGATGATAGATAGATAAAGCGGTAGGCGGGAAAAAAGACACGATGAAAAACGAGGAAAAAATTACTAGAACAAAAACAATTCGTGACGATGACACTGCATATAAGAACTATGCATTTGAACACTATGCGTTAAAATAGTACGTGCGTCATTCCGGTCATGTAGTACACAGCTATTTAGCTATCTTTGATGTTTTTAAATTTTATTCACGGCGAGATTCAGGAATGAACCGAGTAGTTGACAACAAACGCAATGTTCAAACAATATTAGGCATTAATCGATTCGAATATTGGTTGGCTAAAAATAATCGGCAAATTAATTATCAAAATTCAAAATTAATCGTCGTATATGTAATTCATCGATTGATGCAATTAATTTTTAATCGAACTTGGTTGGTTTTACACGTGCACTAATTGATAATTAATTTTATCAGTCAATTAAATTATTCATAATTACACATTTACCAATTGATTAATTTTGATTATTGATTTGCCGATTATTTTATTAAAAAATTGTAATCGATTTACGATTCGCTCGAATTGCTGCTGACGTTTTTTACTGTATTAATGTAAAAATTGAAACATTATTATTTTTCAAATTTATATTTCCTACAAAAAGAGTTGGGTTAAATACTAATAATTCCTGCAAGAAAAATAACCGGGATTTTCTCGAACTGCTGCTGACGTTTTTCCCCGTATCACTGTAGAAATAGAAACATGAAAATAGAATTATCGCTCTTCAAACTTGTATTTCCCGCGAAAGAAATGATATCAAAAAGTTAAACCAAGTACTAATAATTCTCGCAGAAATAGCAACCGCGACTCCCTCAAATTGCTGTTGACATTTCTCGCCGTATCACTGCATGAGGCCGCCAGGCCTCGACAAGTTCTCGTCTCATTGCCGTGTCACCGATAATCATGTCACTCGCCTGTATTATTTTCCAATGTTACTCGCGTGACTTCCTTCTAGGAAGCCCGTCACGTGCCGATACTCCCATCGCAGATGGATTCGCGATGTTGACATTTTTCGTCGTTTCGCGCACGATGACACCAGCTGCTCGAATAGCGACGGGCTTTTCTCGCCTCGCCGCGGCACCGCCAATTACATCACTTGCCCGCATTATTTCGCAACGTTTCTCGCGTGCGTCGCGGGTCCTTCTACGTAGAAGCTTGTTTGAGATAGATACGCAATCGTTCTCGCGAATTGCTCTCTACGCTCGCGACGCTTTCCAGCGACTGGGGTCACACTCTATTTGGGGATTCGCTTTAAAAATATGACTTATTATCGTTATCTGGCGGGAGATAAAACTCATGCAGCGACGAGGGATAAGTGAGTTACGTCAGACTTTCCTCTTGGTCTCTCCATTCCTGCGCTCCTGAATCTCTCTTTTCTTCGACGCGCGCCGTGACTAGATAATTTCGAATTTCTGGATATGGTAAATACGCCTCGTCGTGTGAATTCCGCGCGTAAATAAAGAAAAGAACGACGCACGAATAAACATAGAAGATACACAAAAGAAACCGAATACGGGGAAACCCGACGTATCACTGGGGCTGTTTGTAGTATCAACATTGGTGGAGGAACAATCTGCTGCGCAACCACATCGTCGCGCGCCATCAAACGCGATTGTGAAAGGTTAAAATTCGCGGGAACTTGCAGGAAGACCGAGCGAATTTATGCGGTACATCGCGAAAATCGTGCTCGGAACGTGAAAGGCACTCAAGGCGCGATCGTTCGTATCGTTCCGCGATCGCGTCCGGGGCAATTGCGCGAGTACCAATTAACAAGGGGGACTTCTCGCGCGTGACGAAGAAAAAACGCGAGGAGAAAAGAAAAGGAGCGAAGGGGGGAACAGAATGACAAATGGCGCGAGGCGGAATGGCTTTTATCCGCGCGCAAGTCTCTCGACGGTGAGCGTGACCGCCGTCCCGTGGCTCCAACTTTTATGCATGCGAAGTCGCGTGCGCGGTCGCGTGCTGGCATCACCCTTTCGTGCGGCGCTGTTAAAATATTCGTCCACCTATCGGTGCCCGGCATCTAGGATAGCGGGCTTCACATCCGCCCGTGTGAAACGCTCATTTTGCCACCTGCGGCGAGTTTTGACCCCGCCGACGAGAGATTATCACGGCATCTGGACAGAATTAACGTTACAATATCGTCAGATGACGCGACAAACTGCGCCGTTCATCCACGCGCCCGAAGCGCGGAGGTCACGACTGTCCGCATAGAAATTCCTCAAATTACCCCGGCAAAATTATTCCGATCAGAACGCCCGAATTTCTCCCAGCATTTGTAGTGATTCTGTGTAATCAATACGATGTGTACTTTGCAGTCAGTACTTTGCTGGAAAAATTTTCAAATATAATATCCTTTTATATATTGTTTGCCGTAATCTACAGACAAGTTCCTACAGGAATCTTTCTGCTTCTACAATCGAGTTTTCCATCTGGTCCCAATTTTTGCTAGTTCAAAGTTCAGTTACACTGACGGAATTGTTTTCCCCGTGCGGTCTGAATTCCAATTCTCAAGAAATTTTCTATGCGGGTGGAGCCTACTATCGATAATACGACGATATTCTAGGAATTTTATTATGCAACAATTTGACGTAGGCATGATATTTATCTGAACGTATGAATAAATCATTTCGAGTATTTGACGTCTTAATGAAGTATATGACATATCCGTGATACGACATATCCGTGATACAAAATTTAAAATGGAAACACGATGCATAAATGTGTTTAATAATCAATAAAACGTGCGTAGTATTACGTATTTTATTTATATTCCAACATCGCGAAGGAGAGGAGTCGGTAAAAAATTCAAACCATATTCGTTCGAATTATCTACGTTAATTAATAACATTTCATGGCATTTTGTGTCGTTTCGTGATCGTTTCTCTCATGTTTCTTCTTTTTCACGCAAAGATAATCCGCGAGGTTCTCGTGAAATTCACTTTGTGGAATTTATTTCCAGTCCAATTGCCGGTAGACTTTCGTCCTTTGTTATGATAATGCAATCGGAGCAAAGCTCAAAGGTGTAATCGGCATTGAACGGCGGAAGAACTATAGAACACGCATTGTCGCAATTGAGCGGTTTTATTGCGACGATTGTGCTAAGGCGACACGCAGCGCGGAGGCCTTCGCGGTGCATTAAATACGTCGGTAATGTGAAACAAACGACGTCATTCATTTCGACGCTAACGAAGGAAAAACTTCGGCCACAAAGACATCGCGCGCCCAGATCTGGGACAATCGGTTTCGCAAATTTCGCATCTGCATAATTGGAAGATTGATTCTAATTTGCGAACGGCTCCACTTCGCGAATCAAATTCAAAACGCGCCGCGTTTTATACCGGAATAAGCGATTCAGTTGCGCTTTAACGTGGGACTGGCGCGACAGGTTCGGCGCGATTCGCGCTGAAATTCGTCCAGTACCGTCGAATGCAACGAGCGACAATGGTCCATGAGAGAGAGAGAATGAAAAGGAACGCGAATGCTGGAAATGTGGTGCGTGAAAATTATTCGTGGAACAAGCTCTGAATGGCAGTGACGAGATTCGATCGCAGCATCCGCACGGAGTTCATCTGATCCATGTCCCATGATGTCTTATTCATGAGTGATAACGGAGGGCGTAGGTCGGGCTGCACTTTAACGCCTCTGCAGCGTGAGTTCTAAATCGCGAGTGTTTCGTCACTCTCGGCCATCCTCCCATTTCCTTCACGTCACTTCGCCGCTCACCTCGGGACGCAGCGATATTTTGCGCCGCTTTCTGCATAATTCAGCCGGTGCGACGCGCATAAACGGGGTTAAAATATCGTCAGCATCCGCTCGCGAAGACGAGCGAAGACGCGGTGCCGACGAGCGTGGTATGAAATTCGCTCGCTGGTAACGGGAGGGTGGACAAAAATATTCTATCTAATTGCGCGCAAATATTCTGTGTTTTCTGACGGCTTCAGGGTCTATTAATAAATAAGTGGGACTAATGCTACACACTTTTCAGAATTTCGAAGTTACAACTTTTCAGACAACTAATTGTTGTGATTGTGTATAGACATGATAAAGACTATTTTAGAGGCAAATAGAGACAACCTCCTCCTACGTGTTATGTCAGCAACTAATCTGTAAACCGTATATTTTATTTATTTAACCAAAATATATAAATATGCAGCAACGAGGCCGCCATCTTGCCCTGCTACCGAAATCAATTGCTTAGGGCCGTGACACACAGAAAAACTTAAGCAGTAGGACGTAAGCAAATTGGACAATAAGCAAATTGACTAATCAGTCGTTGATTCTTCTTACGGTCCAAGAATCAACGAATGTAATTGGTCAATTTGTTTACTGCTTAAGTTTTTCTGTGTGCCAAGGCTCTTAGTATAGTGCAGGGAAAAAAGACCGCATATAAAATATCCTGATTAGTAGTTCTGAGATTTTAGCGAGAGGTTTCCACAGATCTACCAACTTTTAAGTATGGGCCAATTTTCTTAGCCTTTATCTTGTTCGCTCATATAGTCGATTTCAATTATTTTATGAGTAAAAATTGCTTATCCGGAATAGTATATCATACACTTGCGAGAAACGTCATTCTAGCTACGTGAAACGTCGCTTAAGTTTGTTCATTCACGATGGTGAGTGATTTAATACAAAATTTCTCGAGAGTTCTGAAAATTTACTTTGCCACTACTAAATCAATTTTTAAAAATTTTTTAATTGTAATATTATTTCGATTTTAATGAAACTCGAGGAAATATATCTATTCTAAAAGATTTCATTTCGCATTCCTGTATCCGCTGTTCCTCTCAAGATAAATACTAAACAAGAACGCGTGAGCGACATACCCCTGAGTTCATTTAGAATCTTCTCTCTACAAATGTGTTTTTGAGAACATAATAAAATTACGTTTGTCGTTTCTTGCTATCTGTGTTCCAAGTCACGTCGATCACTCGCTGGCGCTTCGTATTTGCGAAAGCTTTACTTCACGCCTCGTGTCTTCTATCGGCTTCGCAATAAAGAAGCATGTCGGCACGCTAAAATGGCGTGACGAAATTCGCCGTGCCCAATTCCGCCCCGGTGGTATGCCTTATACCCTCCGAAGATACGACGCGGCTCAAACGTCGCGGCGGCATCCGGGCGCCGGCGAGTCTGGACTTTTCGAGCGTGCGGCCCCCTGCTCAACGTCCATTTCGCCTTTCGTACATAATCCCCGGCTTGACGTAGACCGCACGCAACGATCCGTAACTTCGGCGCATTTGCGTCGATGTTGCAGCAGCGTCGAGGCGATGCGCGGAATTCCGTTCGGTCGATAGTGTGTTCAACGTTTACGGACGCGCGTGAGGTCGCAGCGATTCAATCCGCTGTGAATGCAAGGAAGTCACTGATGGAAGTGAAAAAAGAGTTGTAATTGCTCGGGGGAAAAAGATCGGTTGAATTAATGTGACAATAAACGAACTGAACGCACTTTGCATGAAGGAAATTTCTTGTTTCTTTGAATTAAATTCTATTCTAATAATCAGAAATTTTGTTTTTTACAATAAAAAAATATCTGATTCGAGTATCCATGATCTGCCCTGATCTCCATCAGCATTCATTAGTTTCCATTTTTACTTAATGAATCAAATTCGGTTTTAAGAACTAGAAATTCTGCTTCCTTCAACTAAAACAGGTTTGGTTTGTTTATTGATATTGATATCACGTTACTTCAACCAATCTTTTTTCCGTGTATTTAACCCATAACAGGTACCATGAGGTCCCAGAGACCCCAACTAATTTTATTTTCGTGATAATTTCTAAACTATCCACTGTATGGCGCTAATATTTTCAGTACCTTTCGAGTAACAGTTTTTAGTGTGACAGAAGAAAAGATCATCGAGTTATTTGTAAGTAACTGTGAATTATATGCATTTGTTTTTCGTCACAGTGACCCCATTGCACCGTTAACGTTACTTTTATGAAAATAATTTTCTTAATCTTCAGCTCAATATGACTCATTCTTCACGCAAAAGAGTAAAAGCTTTTGCCTTTCAGTTAGTAGAACCTGAACTTAAGAGACGTCTTACAACTCAATATATTCATAAGCCATTGCGTTTAATAATTTCATCTATTTTAAAAATTGAAGAAACTGAAAGATCTAAAATTATTTTACCATCTAGAGTAAGATGTGATAAATGTCCTAGAAGTAAAGATATGAAGTCCAAAGAAGTATATGTTAGATGCAATGAACCAATATGCACCAAATGTACAAGCATTATCTGTAACGATTGCATCTAAAAACCCTCTAAGATTTTAATATTGTATTTAATTTAACAATACTTGTTTATATTTTTTATATAATCTATAATTTGTAGACTTAGATTAAAACATAAATTTTTTTCTTTTTCCGATTATTTGTCTTTCAGTGTATTTTATTTCAACACTGTCCACATTGTATTGTTCATTTTATAATCAGTTAACGTTTTCTTTTAGATTACTGAAAAACTGAGACTGTTATTATATATGTCTATACTAGTTGTAATATAATATTCGTAAAATATTATTTTCGAACTACTCGTATAAAGCGTTTTTCTTTCTACCTTTTATTATCATATTAAAAATGGCAAAAATTTATTTACTCAATGGAGTTCGCCGGACTCCATTGAGTCCACCTATAGCTTGACTAAAAAGGCATAGTACCTGTTACGGGTTAACATCCTTTTAATGTTAAAGCAAAATAGGTTGTTTCTTACATCAAATTAATTGATTCTACTTGATCATTGGGAATCAATAATTACTGTAATTAGTCAATCAATTAGCTTGACTCATTCTTGAGTAATTTCCTCATTGGTTTTATCGTTGCATTTTTGCTGAAATGTAAAATGCAAACAACGAGAATGAAGAGACGTTCAGTTCGATTCTATATTGTTCGGTTCCGAGATCGAGCCATGCGACCTTTTCCCGAATGAACTTATTGCAGCGCGCTTGTCGCCTTTCTCTGGACGATCTTATACAAAACCGAATCACGCTTCTCGTTTATGTTTGCCGAGGTCTAGTCCCTTCAAATCAAATATACATGAATCGCGAGTCATCGCAGCATAATAAGCCAAACCTGCCCAACTTATGAGCAACAGACTTGATTATCAATCAATCGAACAGTTTTGTGTTTATTTTCTGCTTTATTTTCGTACAGCAAATGCGTTCAAATTTTGCGTTCAAATTTTTCATACGCAATAACTACAGGAAAAGTGTTATATTGGGACTCCAAACAGTTTTACTCTTTGGTTACTAGACAAAATTAACATAACTGTCCAATAACTGCTCGAAAATTGTATAAAAATTTCTCTATCGCGGAAGGAAAATAAATATAAAAATAAGTATATAAAAAGTGCCTGATTTAGTTTTGGATGTTTCAACTCTCGAATGTTCCTCTTGTTCCAATTGCACGTGCAGTTAGATGACACTTCCATTGACACGCAGCGCCAGTTTTAATAAATTCTTGACAAACTCATTTAGTTGTACAACCTCCTCGAGATCCTCATTCATTCGTTCCGACAGCTTCGCGCACCTTTACCAGTACCTTCGCCAGGATCCAAGGTGAAACGATATCGCGCTCGGCGCATCGATACCACTGAGGCGTCTCCTGAGGAGTTTCCTGCGGCTGTACGGAGCGCGACGTCCGTGGAAACCGGAAGTCCCGCCGATCCTCCTTATCTCGCACCGTCTGCCGTACTATCGCGCGGCCGTAAAAAAAGGCTTCCTCGATCGCTACGGGAAGATAAGATCGGCCGGTAACCCGCTGGCTGAACACGTCCGTTACCTTCGTAACCCTTCGCGACCTTATCGCCCTACGCCACCTCGCCGTGATAGCGCGGCGATATCGCCCACCGTGCGAACAGCGCGTGATAAATGCGGTGATGTGTTGCGCAATGATTTCCCTCACACCGTGACTAGGCCGACTACAATGACAAAGATCGTCCACTAACTCGGCCGAAGTTCGGTTGCTGTTCTTCTCTTTCTCTTTTCTCTCTCTCTCTCTCCCTCTCTTTCGGGAGGAAGAGAAGGTGGTATGCAGAAATATGCGCAGAAGATACGACTTCCATACGCGTGCACAATCTGCGTCTCAATCTAGGGTTAAATTACAGGATTGACCCGCCGCCGTTCCCTCCTTCCGCCTTTTTCTTCTTATCTCTTTTTCTCTCCCGGACACCTTGTAAATAAATACGCCGTATTCATTGCATCGCGGCTCGGCCTGTTGTTCGTTGTCACGACCACCTTCTCTCTAAAGCAAGCGTCGTGTCGTTTGTATATGTGCGGATCCACGTGTAACAACCCGCGGCGCTTTCTAGACATAATGTCGGGCATGAACGCTATTTATACCGACTGATTCACGGAGTTGTGCCGCGGCGTCACTTCTCGAGATCTGATTTCTGAATCCCGAAGAGATAAGTTTTTAGCGCCCGGATGCGCCCGCGATGTTCGTCGCGAATTCTCTGATACGCGCGGACGAAACGCTGAGAAATCTCGCGTTGATTTGGTAACAAATTGTTGTGATAAATGAAGCGACATGTGTGTTTGTATGTGTTTCAGAAATGACTGAAAATCTTTATTTTTGTAGAGTTTGTGCAATGTTTAATGTTTGAGTGCCACCCGAGTGTTATTTACTGATACGGTCACAAGAAAATATCGTTTTTTTTTGTTTCGTTTAGCATAGAGAAATATTCAAATTCCAGTTTATTTTTACTGACTAGTGGTCAGTTTTTACTTTTCAATGTGTTTTTCTAATCAAGTTATTCGTCTAGTCGAGCTAATGGTCTAGTCAAGTTGGCACTTGACCCTTGATCATTGCATCGAATACACGTTCAAAGATATTACAACGCAAATAAAAGTGAGCGCAAGTTTCTCGAAACTCCGTCCGTTAAAATCTAAAACTATACACTGAGAAAAAGATATCTGAGTAATAAGAAAACGTTTATTCGATGAGTACTAATAACATATTTACGTAAATCTAAATTATTTTGTTTAAAAATAAACAATTTTTTTCTTGGAAACTGCAACGGTGATTTTTGGAAAATATATATTTTCTCATTTAAAAGAGAAATTTTTTCTCAATGTAAAAAATATGTATACAAATATGTTATTAGTTATATGTATATTAATACAAATATGTTATTAGTATCTATCGAATAAATATTTCTTATCTTTTAAATATTTATTTGCTCAGTGCATATATACATACACACTAAGCAAAAAATAAACTGAACAAATTAAAAAATCTCTCTCTCTCTCTGTGAAACAAACTATTCTGTAATTAGCCAGTTGCGACATTCTCCGGCAATATGAATGCGCGCGACAGAGTTGATAAATATGGATCTGTTTTCGAGCAATTTCACGACTGCGTTTGTGAGAATGTTAAATAAGGCAATGGTCGGCGCGCGCGAGCCTTTAAATCGCTCTGTACCGGTCATCCGTTGTTTTCCACTTACTCGTCGACTAGACGGTTTCCGCGATCGATCTGGCCGCCCCCACAAAGCGAAGGCCAATGTTTGTTACCTGGCCGACCCGCTCGTGACTAAATTAATACATTTCTAACGAGCGATCTCAATAGCGAGCCGATCGCCCTCGTCTGTTGCAGGATGAGAAGGTCACGATGCTGAGACCCGGATCCTTAGCGGGCCTGCTGGTCCTCGTGGCCGTGCTGAAGATCGCGCACTCGAACCGCTGTCTGACAATGCTGGAAGGTAAATCGCCGTCATTATCACCGGTCTGATCGTGCGGCTCAATTACGGCGCATTTGTCAGCTCGCGAAGAGACGCGATACTACCCATTGGCTCTCTCTCTCTCTCTCTCTCTCTCTCTCTCTCTCTCTCTCTCTGTCTCTCTTCTCCCTCTATCTATCTCTCTTTGTCTCTTCGTTCTCATGAAAAAAACCACCACGTCGAACGACCGCGATCGGCTAATTAGCGGCGATCGTTAAATGCGCTTTGAACATTGAATCGAGTCGCTAGCGTCTCACCCGCGAACATTTATTTATCTGTCAGGTGTTTATTACTTGACTAATGTTCATTCAATTTGAAATGTGGATGCAGTAATTAGATGCATCGAGCTCGCCACGTAATTAGGAGCTGAATTCATTCTGATGCGTGAATGCAGCCGCGCTGCGTAGTTTCACCTGCTTATTATCGAGCACTTAAACACGGTTATTGCGCGGATTGGCAATGGCCGGAAACGTTCTTCCCTCGGCTACATGTTTTTCTCAGATGTTTACATTGTTCAGGTCGGACGGCAAAACGACCTTGTATTTCTGCATGTACAGTGACTCTCAATCCACGCGTCTCGACTGACATTTGCGCGACCCGGTACTCGTGTCCTCGCTTCTCTATCGTGCGAACCCGACGCGCAGACGTGATCGCGGGGAATTCTATTTCGAGGGTATGTGATTTTGCAGAGGTCAATCCGAAGAGGGTGATCCATTATGAAGGCCAGTCTATGAATATTCAGTTCGAGGTGTCGAGGAGAGTCACCCAGAGGATGGCGTCGGAGATCATGAAGATCTTCTTGGTCGAAGTGCTGGGCTACAGCGGTGTTACCGTGGTCGAGAAAAACGACAAATTCGACACGGTCGAAACTTTCGAGAGGCTGTCTGAGATAATGTACCAGAGTTACACCGGACGTAGACAGTAAGACAACGAACGATCGTGAACTTTAGTTGACCGCAGTGTTTGACGCGATATTTGGAGCGGATTCTGTACGATTCGGTTCCTTGAATTTTCCTTTCCTTCTTTTCCCGCTCTTCTCTTTCATTCTTGGATCGTAAAAATACCTCGCGTTGTTTTTTCCAACAAGTGTGTAAACAGCTGTGTTGAACTTCGCTCGAGATGTGTGCATAAGCAGAATGGTAGGTGTAACTTTGACGTATATTTTCCATTCATAAGGAGCTCCGTGTGGCACCGCATCGGCAGATTAACGATCGAGGACACTCGTCATTGTGACGATTGTAAATACGCTTTGTACTCTTTTCGCCGAGCGATTACGTTTCATCTCGGTACACGTTTTCTCCGGCAAATATTCAGGACGTATTTGCCGATAGAAGTCAAGTTTCTCGCGCCGCTTTTCAATCATTTAATAGCGTCTATCTCGGTGTACCTTTCAAACGTATTCTTCTCCGTAACATCGAGGCATCAAGCTTCTCTCGAGTTGTCTGTCAATACTTGTGCCATTTTGAGACGCGTCGAATACCACCTGACAATGTTTCTTTGATTGCGAATGCAACAGCAATGCACTGTATGTGGTGAACTAATATCCAGAAAGTGCAAGCAGACGGAAAAGTTGCATGTTAAAAAGTTATTTGCGATCTTGAGATATTTTCTGTGTTAGATCAAAAGTGTCAAATAAAGAAGACGACCCGAAAACGCCGAATCGAAGAATCTGAACGACAAATTCGCGTCAAACTCCAGCGGAACAACACATGCGTGCGTGCAGAGGTGATTAACATTCCCGTTCCAATAGTAGATTTCCAGAGACGATGGTAAACATGGAGGTGTGGATTCCACCGCAGCAGGACACGATGCCGTTGCTGAACAGGTACAACGTGAAGGAATGCGGCTCGATAGCGCCGCCGGGATATTTCGGTTGGTTCGTCCCGGAAGCGCTTTCCAGACCCGACGACAGCTGGCTGATCTTCTCCAGACCGGAGACAGCCGGCAAGTTCGCCATCGACGAGAACTATCTCCCGATCATCAAGAATTTCACGATAAATCCCAAGACCTCGGATCACTATTGCCAGGATGTCTTTTGCCAGGACGGGATGTACGTGCCGGAACAGTGTCAGAGTTCAGAGTTGTCTGCTCGACCACCGAGCTGCGCGCTGCTGCTGACCGGATATCCCGACGAGACCGGCTTCGTGAAGGAGCATATCGATCAAATGAAGCTCTACGTCAAGGTGGCGTGGGTCGGCCCGCATCTCAGACATCTGACCAAGTACCTGACCAAGGAGTATATGCAGTTCACGCGAAACTCGTCAGCTTCCACTGATAACAGGTATATTGATGTGAAGAATAATCGGCGATCTCGCCGAAAGATAGTTGATCGATGGGACCAAGTACTGGATAAAATAATCCGAATAGAAAATTTATCAAAATCCTTTTGTACAAAATTCTGCCAAATAGTTTTGATTCTTCAAAATCCTGCACTGTAAACTATTATATTTTATTGCTCAATAATAAACAATTAAAAATGATGTGTAACTCGTGTTTCATAAGGTAGAATCTTTTCATATGTAAACTCATTTGAAATGGTTGTATATTTAATTATCATTTTTCCTTGTCTAGTTTCTGTTTACTAACTGTTTAATAAATCATAGTCAGTTTCTAACTAGTGACCAATTTTTTAGAAATTTTTTACTTGGAAAAGTATAATGTGTTTTACAACATAATCTCCTTCAGGTCACTGGTGATCCTGCACTACTCACCCAGCATTGTGATCCCGAATGAGAGGGAATTCACGACGATTGACTTTCCCCGTTGCGGAACGCACAATATTACGATCAGCTGTGCCTATGAGACGAACAAGCTAACGAAGCTAGTATGGGGTAGGTTGGAGATGATCGCGAGGTTTGCTTTTGAGGCGATCAATCGCGCGAAATTCAGTAGCAGCATGTACGAGGATCTGATCGCGCGACGCAGCCGAGAACCGAGTGACATCCCAGACGAGCAAATCGCCTGCGACTGGCTCAAAGACAATCTCAATTACACCCTTGCGAACTGGATGCCCGACGATGACGACAAAAATATTCTCTATGTGGGTGGAATATTTCCTATGAGTGGCACTTCCTACCAGGCTAAGTCAATAGTGATCGCCGCCAATATGGCGAAGTATGCTATCAATATCAATAACACCTTATTGAGGGACTACTTTCTCTCCTTGCTGGCCAGCGACGGTCAATGCAAGTCGGACATGGTGATGAAGTCCTTCATCGATTACATTGTGCACAATTATTACGAGAAACTAGTTGGCGTGTTAGGGCCGGCTTGCTCGGAAACGGTGGAGCCGTTGGTCGGTGTGTCCAAGCACTATAAAACGATGATCATCAGCTACAGCGCTGAAGGATCTAGCTTTGATCGCCATAAATATCCGCATTTCTTCAGGACCATCGGCGAGAACAAGCACTACCAGTACGTGTATCTGCAGCTCTTAGAGAGATTCGGCTGGCGTCGCGTGGCTTCTCTCACAGAGGACGGGCAGAAGTACACCGAATATATATCATATATGCAGGAAATGCTCCGGGACAAGGGTATCACCTTTGTGGCAACCGCCAAGTTTCCGAGGGAGCGAGAGGTCGCTATGATGACGAAGGTAAATTTGATTTTCACTTGCGCCGACCGATCTTTCATCTGATGTAACGAAGATTGTTCAGTAATATAAAGAGAGATGAGGATTTTGAAATTTTCTACGCGATATTCCTAAACGAGCAGAGATGAAACAATTTTCTGATATCTGTTTTCAGTACTTGCAAGATTTGAAAGACAGGAAAGCCAAAATCATTATCGCAGATGTGTACGATGAAGTGGCTCGTCAGGTTATGTGCGAGGCGTATAAATTGAAGATGACAGCAGTCCAGGTAATAATTGCACATCATGTCATTTCACTCATCATCTTGTCGAACACTTTCCAAATTTCTTGGAGTGGAATCTCACTTAAAACGAATGGAAGGTGACGCTATTTTCGTTCAAAGCGACCATGAAAATGTTACCACTCGAAATCGCAAGATTAAATGTTTTACTGCCCAAATCACATCAAATTCACTTTTCAATTTTGAGTGAAAATATGCGCTCGACGATTTAGAGTGGATAATTTACTCTACATCAGTAAAAAATCGCTCGCATTTGGGTGATTTGGTGATCACTTTATTTGTCGAATGAAATTTTGCTTCAAGAAATTTAGAATGTTAGATTGAGCGAAGCTAAAATCGCTAATATGAGTTCTGCTTTCTTATTAAAGGGCTACGTATGGTTCCTTCCACTTTGGCTTCAGCCAAAATGGTACGACACGGATCATTACAATCAGAATGGCGAACAGGTGTCTTGCAGCACGATGGACATGATGAGAGCTATAAACGGATACTTCGGTCTATCACATGCATACTTCGCCCCGGACGACGAGATAATGCAAGAGGGAATCACCGTGCGCGAATGGCGCACGCGATATGAGAATATCTGTCGGGCGCAGAACGAGCAACCTTCCAACTATGCTGGTTATGCTTACGACGCTATGTGGACTTATGCCTACGCCATGGATCGCCTCATTCGCGAGAACCAGAGCTACATTTTCGAGCTTCACAGTGACCAAACAAATAATCGTCTCACGGACATTATCGGCGAGACCGATTTCAACGGGGTTGGTTAAGTTAGAAAGAAAATAAGATTTATCAAACCGATAGTTCGAAAAAGTTTTCCAACTTGGAATACACTTCTTTCGACAGGTATCCGGTAAAATAAAATTCATGGGCGGATCATCGAGATACTCCGTGATCAATATCTTGCAATTCATCAATAATGACACGCGAGTCATTGGCAACTTTTATCCGAACATCTCCGAGGAAAAGCGTGACGTTATTGGTGGTACTTTGGAGTTGGATACTTCGGCTCTCGTTTGGTTGTCGGGAGAGATGCCGGACGATGGCTCAGAATCGAGATGCGTCCTAGAAGGTTTGGCGGAGCTGTTGCATGTCTCTTGCGAAGTAGCGATCGTGATTGTAAATGTTATCGGTTTCGGGCTTTTCGGAATAATCCTCTTCATCGGTTTTATCTTCATTAAGCGAAGGTACGTTTATTATATTTCGTTTCAAGCGTGACGCTTATATAGGATCAAATCAATCCTAAGATCTTATTTTAACGTTTAGATATGAGAAGAAGGTCAAGCTCCACGAAAAGTATATGAAGTCTCTGGGTATCGATATAACGCAGGCAGACACTTCCGGCTTGGACATATGGGAGATTCCGCGAGATAGAGTAGTGATCAACAGGAAACTCGGAGAAGGCGCCTTCGGCACCGTTTACGGCGGTGAAGCTTTCTTCCCTGAGAAGGGCTGGCTAGCCATTGCCGTGAAGACCTTGAAAGTGGGCAGTTCGACCGACGAGAAGCTCGATTTCCTGAGCGAGGTCGAAGTTATGAAGAGATTTGAGCACAAAAACATCGTTAAGTTATTGGGTGTGTGCATCAAATGCGAGCCTGTGCTCACCGTGATGGAATTTATGCTTTACGGCGACTTGAAGACTTACCTGTTAGGCAGGAGACATCTGGTCAACGACCAGAGCTACGAGGATTCCGACGAGATTTCAAATAAAAAATTGACCGCCATGGCGTTGGATATCGCTAGAGCGCTCAGTTACTTAGCTCAGTTGAAATACGTTCATAGGTAATCAAACTTTAGATTTAACAATCTATCTAATAGATAAAAGAAAGCCAATAAAAGCCAAAATGTCCTTTCTCATTCTTTTTTGCAAACTGCAAATGTAATTTAACTCCTATTCACAATATCAGAGTTATTATATTTCACCTCTTTTTCGCAGAGATGTTGCCTCTCGCAATTGTCTAGTGAACGCCCAACGAGTGGTGAAACTTGGTGACTTCGGTATGACAAGGCCAATGTATGAAAATGACTATTACAAGTTCAATCGTAAGGGTAAGTTTACGAAAATGGTTATGTCACATGATAGCATTATATTTTCATTAGATGTACATTGTGAAATCTTTTTCACGCAGGTATGCTACCGGTGAGATGGATGTCGCCGGAATCATTGGGGCTCGGTATCTTCACGCCAGCGTCCGATGTTTGGTCTTACGGTGTATTACTTTATGAGATTGTGACTTTTGGTAGCTTCCCTTTCCAAGGTATGAGCAACAACGAAGTTCTCTCACACGTGAAGGCTGGCAACTGTCTCGTCGTGCCAAAGAAAGTGAAACTACCACTGTAAGTAGTCACAACTGTGACAAAGTTACTTTGTTTTAATGATTACCTCTTCACCATCTACAACGAAACCTATATCATTTGCGCAGCGAGAATTTAATGTACTCGTGTTGGAATGTGGACCATACAAAGAGACCAACAGCGCCGTATATCGTAGACTTCCTAGCGACCAATCCCCGTATCGTTTCACCGTGCCTGGATGTGCCCTTGGCGAGTGTGCAGCTGGAGAACACCGGTCAACTGGATATACACTTGTCGGAGAATATTCGAAAGTTTTCCCTCTCATGGCCACCGGAGAGTCCGCCTTCTCAGATACACGGCTCCAAGTCGTTAGATTCTCCAACACCACTTTTATTGGACTTGAACTGCCAGGACGATGATCACAACTTGGATCCTCTGTTGACTGGCCAGTCCTACGAACAGGATAGTTCCAGTCCGCTGTTGGATCCCACGAGAACATCGACCCTGAAGCAAATGTGGCTTCAAGAAAATTCCACGGACGTCAAGGACAATCAGGCTCACAGGTATGTCAATCTTCAACCGGGTGCGATAAAATTGGCCGGCGAGCCCACTATGAACGGCAACGCCGGCAGTAACATCCAGCTAGAAGAGAGGACGTCCATGCTGAACGAGAAGAAAATCAACGATAACGTCTCGATGCTCTGACGCAAGTCAAAATGATTTCATGAAGAAATCGAAAACTAGTACCTCGAGTGCCTCAAAGTACGCGGTATTGTAGTATCAAGTAGGGACGACTATACAAAGGTAATGCCGGAGTTTACGATAGTCACCATAAAGTGATGAACATCCCGGGATAAAGTAGCAGATGATGTCTGGATGTTCATCTCTGCGGATGAATATGATCGCCAAGGTCACACCAGAAGATTCTTCGACGATTCCAGAGACAATTGGCTCTCTGATGCGGCATTTCAATTAATCGACAGAGAATATTATGAAATATTCTCTAAATTCCTCGAATGAAGACAAAACTGAAGCGATCTAGAGAGTTGTGGTAATTACCGCAATGAGTATTTCGATTTTCTTATAAGAATTCCTAATCAATCTCGGAATATGGTATACGTGTGCTGTACACTAATGGCAAAACTCTGTCTCGAATGAGTAAAATATCTCGGAGATAAAGTTTAAGTCGATGTATCCGTCAAGAAAATGTGGCACATCTGTCACATAGTATCATATCTGTTACATTTTGTGCTGACAGTATATGTCTCCTTGCGGACACTCTTTTGCACAGTGGATAACACAGCTGTACCTAGAAGCCTGCCCTAAACTATAAGCTCCTAAGCTAGATATGCTCAGTAGTAAAACAGAAACACACGATAGCCATCGCATAAGAAGTCGACTGCGCATGGATATCGATGTGATCGATGATGAAATTTATTTCACTGGACCCACTTTTGAGACTGACTCCTATCACGAAATTATGTTGCATCGTGGATATGGATGACCATTAACGACACTGTCCGTCATCACAAGCAAGTAGTCGAAGTATATAAAAAAGAAAAAGAAACAAAAAATAAAAAAAGAGAAGAGCTGCTTCTTGTGGATGCTGATTTCGCGACAAAGCCATAAAGAGACGGTCAAAACGTCGATGCATCCTTCATTCAGCAGTTCTGTCGCCTTCTGCTCAATGCATCTTTAAGACTGACTTTCGAGATGAAAGCGACGCATCGTATCGTTCTTTATTTGTTCTTTCTGTTTTTCTCTTTTTCTTTATTTTCCTTGTTGATTCATAATTTGTTTCAAGAAGAAGCTAGCGCATTTCAAACATACGATTCGGTGTTTTACGAGCGGTCGAGTGGCGGCGTTCGCGTAACCATGACATTTCTTCTTCTTTTTCACTCGTTATACGTAAAAAATCATTGAACAATTATCCTTTTGTCTCATGATATCTCCTCTGACGAATGCGTCTACGTATGTCTGTTAATCACACACGTCGCCACCGTGTTCTCGCCGACATCACACTAATGTTTAATATTATAAGACTAATCCCCAGCTGGTTGCATACTCGATTACAGATGCGATTATTTATTTATATATATATATATATAATGTATGTATATATATGTATATACACATACATATATAATATATATTATATTATATATATTATAATATTATGTTATATATACATATTATATATATATATATACATATATATATATATATATATATATATATATATATATATATATATATATAAATATAATGTATGTATATATATGTATATACACACACATATATAATATATATTATATTATATATATTATAATATTATGTTATATATACATATTATATATATATATATATATATATATATATATATATATATATATATATATATATAT